TCAGCACATGAAGATGACTCAAGTTGACGAAGATAAACGGCAAGAGAAAATTAAAAAATCAATATTGAAAGAGGCAACATGACCAAAAACATTCAGTAACCTACTATATATAGGTAAAGACTAATGCGTAAGACCACTTCGTCGCATGCAACTATACAAGAATGAATATGAAATTGATACCAGCATGATAGTATAGTTCACTTGCAACTACAGAATGTAAACCGTAAACAAAAATTAACAAGGATTATAAGCAATAATGGTATGGTAAGAGCTAGCAAGGGATAGCAACAGCTAACATACAAAAAAAAGCAAAAAAACAAAAAAACAAAAAACAAAACAATTTATCGAAAAAAGGAAGTAAATATCAAAATGAAGTTGCAATATAATTTATTTTCATTCGAACATATCATACGCAACAATACTCGACCCAAAAGAGGCACCTAATCAACATCTAAAACTTTAAAAGCAACGAGAATACGCATCTCTAAAGGTTTTTTTCTGAGCTTTGGACATTCTTAGGGATAATGAACTTAAAAATTCAAACATTGAATTATTGATTCACTTTTTTGAGGGGCCGTTGTTCAGGTTGCATCAGGTAGCCCCAATCCTAAGACAGGTGAGAGATTGCAAGTATCAAATTATGTTGTTGAAGACAAGGTACATATATTATACATGCCGTAAGGTTACCATGTCAAGTAAAGTAATTCAACAACAAACAACATTAACAAAATTATATAAATGTCATTTAACAAAAAGAAAAGAGAAAAATATTAAAGATACTACATAAATTGTAATAAATGTAGATTGCAAAATGAGGTAACGAAAGAAGATCGCTGCAATGGTAGTGAAAAATTGGTTTACATGCAAAGGCAATAGAACAAAGTTAACAAAAAATTGCCAGACGATCAATATGAAGATAACGATTTGAAGTAACCTAAATGTCAAAACAAGAAATAAGAAGTCAAGAAACGATTAGCAAGTAAAATTAATTGGAGATATGAAGTTGGAGTAATATCATATGAAAACAATGTGCATGGACTAAAATAATAAATGACGCAAAACAAGCGCATGGTTGAACAAGTTGGGATAAATAGGCCAAAAAAAATAAAATTATATCTCTAATTTCAGAAAATTAAAGCACAATATCAAACCTTTCATTACATTTACGAGAAAAACAGAAACTATGAGAACCATAAAACTGAAATAACAAAATAATAATCAAAATTTTAATAGAAAATGCAGTGACACGCTGTTAATTAGCAATTATAATACTTCTATATATATATATATATATATATATATATATATATATATAGATAT